CAAGTGATCTTTCACCTGCCTTCATTAATTTCGAAAAATCTAAAATTTTCTAAACCCAAATTTGAGCTGAAGGTTGAAATTTTCTGTGTGGATCATAAAACACGTAGTTAATAATTGTTGCAAATTTGGAGACGTTCCAGTGACTTTCAAAAGAGAAATCATGAAAAAACCGTTTGTTCATAAATTTCTGGCCACTACTGTATATCACAACCAAAGGAATGCAGTGAAAGCTATGAAGATCTGTACAGGACCGTTAACTCTAGAAATCGCTGGGACTTAAGACCCGAGGATGCCGATCATTGTGCAAGAAAAGCACCAAGACCATTTACAGGGCAATAATAAAAGCATAGGTAGTTATCAATACATCGCGTTCTCATAAATATAGGTCCACCCTAAATTTTTGCTATTCCAAAGTTGCTGTGCATTTTTGGAAAATGCTGCTATCACCAATAGATTCCTCATAACGGATATCACCTCTTCTCCCGTTGAACATCGTGTATATTCCAGCAGCATTTCGAGCTAGCAACGTTTCTAGTCACTCTGCTGCGAAGCAAAGTAGGAGAGTATAAAGGAATGTTTCGCTTAAGTAACAAGAAGCAATTCATGCCAATTTTTGCAGTAAGGAAGCGGAGCATTGCAGGGCGTATTGACGAAAGTGTCGACACCAGTTTGAGACTTGGCCAAGCCATTTTTTGTACTGGTTGGGCCAAAATTATGCTGATAAAGCCTTTAAGTTGTAAGTAATAGTTTGACAGACCTTTAGACAAGTTAGACGGTTAAAGACCGTCTAACCTTCAGACGGTTAAAGAAGGTTCACCACTTAAAGGCAAGCCCGGGATAAAACCGGTAATAAGAGCATGATGATGACTGAGCTGCGGGACGGCCTGAAAGTGGAAAGGAAAGCTAGAGAATCTTTGGGATCGCTGAAATTAAGGCCTTAACCTTCAAAAAGGTCGGATGTGGAACGATGGCGAGGCAGGGCGGTCAAAGAAGACAAAACACGCGAGAGATCACGCCGTTCGAGAGAGCACGCCGATATCGAGGTGGGTGGGAAGCGTTGCAACGGGGGTCGATGGTTGCAGGCCCGTAAGGATTAGCGCCCTAACCGCGCAACTTTTGCGGCGAAGCTGGAGTGATCTAGGTAGGTAGGGACCTTACAATTTTCCTCGCGGTATCCTTCCCACAAGTCGGGATATCCCGGGGTTTGCCTTTATGTCGAGAAAAAGAGGCTGGCATTGAACTTGGTCATCCACTGCGCTAACGCTTTTGAGGCATAACTCGCGATGATGATACCGTTGAAATGTGAACACTGGGCTACCAGGTGATGCATCTGTAAAAAATAAGCAAAATGATCAAAAACACGAGAAACGGTACCCTTTCACCCTCAGTGATTCGAATTGGGCGAAATAGACCACTGGCGTCTCGTGGCCATTGGAACAATTTATGTTTTGCAACCATGCTAGTAGTAGTCTTTCTTATGTTATTGTTGTATTAATATGCTCGCATACTATTACATCTATATGCAAAAGCCAAATTAGTAAGATTTCAAGATGAGGCAGCTCGATCACGGAATTAAAGCTTTTCGGTTGCCACTTGCTTTTGATCAGTGCCGTCCTTAGAGAAAATTCTGATGATTTATTAGGGTTCTCCTCTATCACGATTTCACGAAAAGAATTAGTTTGAGTTTTCAGAATTTACGCATTGTGCGAAGATCCTCTGTCGTCTTGAAAAGTACGAAATGAAGCACTCAAGCCATTTTTTGTGCTGTAACATTCAAATCTCAGC